TAGATTCTGTTGGATTTTCTGTTCGAAGACAGTAGCGAGAGAATCGGTAGTGCTGATATAAAGTAAGTCATCGACGTAGGCGACGAGCAAAATATAGTCGGTACCATCGGTAAGCAGGTACATTCCCTGATCGTGTGGAAGCTGACGAAATCCGGTAGTTAACAGCTGTCGATGTAGCTACTGCTGCCACAGTCGTGGAGCCTGCTTGATGCCGTAAATGGATTTTCTGAGACGACATATGCTTGGAGGGTTAGTTTCGTTAGAATGCGGTTATTCGACCAGGATTAGTGCGTCGACAGGCACATATAGAAAGGCATTGGCGACGTCGATTTGACGGAGTATGAAATTCCGGTAGGCTGCGATACTGAGAAGGATGCGGACACTGGTGTGTCTGCCGACGGGAGCGAAGGTAAGTTCGTAGTCAAGCCCAAAAGTCTGCTCGAAGCCGCGGATGACCCATCGCGCCTTGAATTTTTTTAAGGAGCCATCAGCGTTTGTCTTAACGCAGAAGACCCATTTTCCGGTAAGAACCTTACTCCCTTTTACTTCCTTTAGTGGGATAAGATCCCTGGTTCCACGCTTTTCCAGAGCCGCTAACTCTCGGTCCGTGGCTTCGCGCCATTTCTCCCTGTGAGGACTTGTCAAGGCTTGGCGAACTGTTTTTGGCTCCAGTATTTTACTGCTGTTTGACTGTACTGCGACTGCACGTCCCAAAACTTGTAAACCAGTTTTTGTAAAGCGAGGACGATTTGAGTTGACAACGGAGAAGTTGTGTTCTGATCCCTGTTTCCCCCCCAACTTCTTTAGGTGTCACTCGGATAGCTGCTTCGGATACAACGGGCATCGGCTGCTGTTGGCGGTCACGTTCGTAATCGAGTTTAACATCGCGAACATCTTCAGGGTCGGCGTCAACGAGTGGAATAAACTCGGCAGTTCCAGTTGACGCGGTTGGTACGGGGACGTCTGTGGCAGCTTCGGAAGATTCAGCGATAGATTCGTCCTGAAATTGTGCTTCGGCCTCGTCGGTGGCAAAAACACGCGAGCCCTCGAACAGCCTGGCAGGATTGGCAGCTGCTGCCTGGTGAGCACGAAAAATGGGTAAGGTGGGGCGTTCGTAGAAAAGACAATCACGTGCTGCTATGGTTTGACTCGTGCGAAGATCCATAATTTTCCATGCGAAAAATTGCTTCTCGATGCCAAGATGTACTCCCCACTTAGCGCGTTCATAAAATTTCCCCAGTGCTGCTGTTGGAGGTCGATATTGGACAATGCACCCAAAAACTCTTAAACGTTTTGTGTTGCCAACTGTTCTTGTCCACTGCAGGTGTGGTGAAGAAAATTCCGGAAGAGAAGTTGTCGACAGCAAGTTGTGCAGAACAACTGCATGGTCCAAAGCGTAAGTCCAAAAATGTGGTGGCAATGCTGCCTGAGTCAGCAAGACTCGCAACTTCTCTTGTAGAGTCGTGTTCATCCTTTCTGCTGCCCCCATCTGTTGGTGTTGATGTGGCAGGGACAACCTGCGTTTGATGTCGAGGGTTTGCAGGTACTCTGTGAAAGTTGTGCTCGTATACTCCCCTGCGCCGTCACTCTGAAATTCTTGAAGCTTTTCCTTTGATTCTCGTTCAGTCACGGCAAGCCACGCGACGAAATTTGAGTGAGCCATGTGTCGACAGGTATGTTGATGCTCCAAACGTATCGAGTAGAAGCTTCGATAAACGAAATCATATAAAGCTCCCCCTTAGGTCCTGCTTCAGGTAAGTTGAAGATATCGCTGTAAGCTTTCTGCATAAGAGTATATCGAGTTGAACCCGGAAAGTGACTGGGAAGGGTTCGTGAGAAAGATTGGCAGTTGCGCACATTGTGCAGACTGCTGGTCGCGAAGACGAATTCATCTCCGTTCCATCCGGTAAGAGTAAACTATTTTTGTCAAGAACGGAAGCTCGGATAGTATGGTTAAGTATTCCTGGTAAAGGATGTCCTAACCTTTGATGCCAAATATCTTCTGTTGCTTTGTGTCCTGTTGATCGCAGATAAAAATCAGCGTTTGTACAAAATGAAGAAATGATGAAAGGAGAAAACGCTGGTGATTCGTCGAGTAGGCCAGGAACGAAGCGAGTAAGAGGTAACTTTTTGGTTGTAATTTTCACATCGAGAACTTCTTCCGATTCAAGAACTAATTCCCCTTCCTCAATTTCTGTTTCTGTTGAATCTGCTGCAGGTTGACCGACGAGAACCCCTGTTTCTGCTTCACTGCTACTCTGCTGCTCTGCTTCTTCTGCTCCACTGCTGCTGCTGAGTCCCCAAGGTGATGTAGGTTTGTTTTCAAGAAGTTGTAAAGTGTCATAGTAATTCCTCCATGCTGATGCATCTTCCTTGGCTGTGTTTGTTGGCCTGGAATCAAGAGCCGTTATAACCGCTGCTGCTGTACGAGATCCTGTTGGAACTGCAGTTGCACGGAAGTCGATGTCAATGTTCTGAAAAGCAGTTTCTTCGGGATGTTGCCAAGGTCCAAGAGATAACACTCTCTCAGAAGACCCAGAAGTCCCTTGCGACTCGAATTGAAGAACGGAGACCCCATACTGAGTGGCGGCTCTCCCGATGTAAGTGTTTGTATCATTGTGATAAAGTTCCTGGTCCATTGTCTCACAATTGCCTTGTGTCCTGATCTTGTGTCGTAGGAGTTGAGCCATTGAAAGACGATTAAAGCCAAGTCCAGCGATGATAAGGACATTTGTAACATGTAAGGAAAAACCTGTGTCCACGGAATCCAACATGACGCTGCCGATTGACCTTGCCATAATGGTTTGTCCATTTGCAACTGTGACAGGTACGGGACGTCGAAGCGGACGCTGATGAGTAATGAAGAGCGTCTCGGCAGAGTACATATGTTGTCCACAACATTTGTCAAGATACCAAGTGTTTGGTACTGCAATAACTCGAGCAAGATTAGCATGTACTTGAGGTAAAATCATGTTCTCAGGTTGCTCGATGGAGTTTTTGTTGTCTTCCTAGTCGAAATTTGAGTCTGTTGCATGAACTGTTGTAACGCAACTGAAAACTTGTTTTCCTGATGTTGCAGGAGTTGTTGTTGGGGGATTCTGCTTCATGGGTTGCTTGAACTGTTGCGACTGCTGCTGCCCCCCTCTTTTCCTATCAGCTTGAAGCTTGTTGCAAAATTTTATACAGTGTCCATCCTTTTTGCAGTAGTGACAGAAGAATTTGTTGACACGTTTCGTGGGCGTTGAATAAAAGCTGATGTTGACTGCTCCCTTTTTTTTACGTGCTGTGTGCAGGTCAAGATCTTGCTGCTCTGCTTGAAGGATTGAGCAGATTTTTGTTTCCGAAAGATTTGGTTGAAGACGAAGAAGAGATCGACACTGCCGCCATTCTGCTCCAAGACCGGTAAGAAGGACTGTTACAAGCATAACCTTTGGGAAGTATCCGCCGCACTTTTCCAATTGGTCACGAAGTGTTCGAATCCTGTTGATATAATCTGAAACGTTCTTGTTGCCCTGCATCTGTACAGTTGTTAGTTGTGAGAGAATTTTACTCACGGAAATTGTATCCTGTGCCATGTATAATCCCTTCAAATGCTTCCACGCAGATTCTGCTGGAGTCAAACTGGTGTGAAGAGAGCGAATACCAAGCTGCTCTTTCAGCGAAAGATTTCGGATAAGGACGGTGTAAGCGCTAATTGAAGCATGAAGAAAACTCTGTTGTTCCATCTGTGTTCCCGTAACAGGATACGAATAATCGCCACTTAAGAATGGCCACAATCCAGCGAATTTCGTAAGGAGCTCGAATTCGAAACTCCAAGCGCAGAAGTCAGTGCCATTAAAATGTATAGTTGTCTTGATCTGTGTATTGCTTAAAAGGTTCGGTGCCTAAAAAACAGGGCCAATGATGTTGGCTGCTGCGGAAACTGCTGTTGCGGTTGCTGTTGTTGCTGTTGCTGTTGTTGCTGAAACTGTTGTTGCGCTTGCTGCTGTTGTTGAAAGAAATTGAAATTGTTGATATTGAGCAGGTGAAAACGCAAACGAAGAACTGGAGCTTGGAGCGGCTGCAGCTCTTGCATAGCTGGAACCATAAATGCTCATACCATTGAAGGCCGCTGTTACTGATGCTGCTGCTTGTTGCTGAGATGTTGCAGGTGCAGAGTAAGAAGTCCCCGATGGATGCACAGTAGGCAAACCTTGCTGCTGTTGCGGCATCCCAATTGAAGAATAAGCAGTTGGAAAATTTCCAGCTGCAGAATCACCTGCTTGACCAGTGAAGACTGTAGGATTTGTAATATCCGTGGGTCTAGTTGTTGAAGAAGCAGACGTTGGAGATGATGACGGTCCAGTTTTGTATAAAGTTGACGATAGTCGAATTGACGATACTCTTAATTCCAGACAGCCCTCATACTATGACAGAATTTGAAAGGTGGTGCAGGAGACTAAGTATAGAATCTGCAGACACAAGTACTTGAAGTAGAAAGTAATACTGGAAGTACCTCCAGTAACAGCCAGTATTAACAAGTTGTAACACCAGAATCTGTGTTACAGCCTCGCGATACTTTAAGACTTAACCAAGGATATTTTCTAGAATGGTAGACTAGTAAGATAGCGGAAGTCTTAGAACTTGTAAAGTGTTGACCAGAATTTACTGAAGAACAAGTTAACAATTGAAGTTGTACAAGCTACTTTTATATCTGCTAGAAGTACCAATTCGGTGATGTATCTGTTCGAGCTATTTGCGCTATGCGCTACAACCGCTACTGAAAAGAGCGCGACTGTTCGTGTGACTGAAACGGCTTGCTGACGTAATCATCCAGACGAGCACTATTTGCTGACGGCATTCTACGGATGCTAACTACAGTGTAACTCGACAATAACTTTCGGGATTACTTACAGAAATGCTTAAGTACGATTTTTTCCCAACACCCCTAAGACCCGAGGAGGCTGCCGCAGCGGTCTCAGTAGCCGCCGCAACCGAGGCAGAGGCGAAAAAATAGATTTGTACCATATATGATCGCAAAATAATTAACAGACTAAAAATGTATATGGTAATTATAAACCACATGACAAATTCTTATGCAAATGTGGTAAGATGCGTAGCTGCTGCTGCTGCATCGGTCCTCGCGATGCTACGTCCCTTGCGTGGCCCAACCATCCCCACAAACTCAAAGGACGGCACTCGATGGTGAAAGCAACCTTCTACGGAGGACGGGAGGTCAAGTTGCTGAGATACCGCCACCACCACAGGTGACCCCAATGCCAAGTCCACACAGGGGGCACTTGGGTTTCCAGGCACTTTGTCTTCCACGCTCGCGCTGACTGGTTTCACGTGAAGGCATGATGGCTCAGAGGCAGGTGCTTGGGATGGTGGGGAGGGAGATGGGTACCGGTGGGATGGGCTATGTGGCGACCCTTCCTTGCCGGCTTTACCCTTGCCAGGCACTTCAGCCTTGTCCTCTTCTTCCTCTTCCTCTACCTCTTCATCTCCCTCTTCCTCTCCCTCTCCCTCTTCCTCTTCTCCCCCTTCATCCACTGCGCCCTCTCCCTCCCCCAATTCTTCACCATGATCTTCCGCCTCTCGCCTCTCTTCTTCGACTTCCGCCTCCACCCTCGAACCTTCCCTCCTCCCCGCCCTTTCAGCATAATTCCTCTTCTTCTCACCCTCTCCTCCCTCTTCATTCTTCTCGCCCACGTTCCTCTCCTTTTCATCCTCCTCACTCCCTCCCTCATCACTCCCTTCCTCCCCACTCTCTCCATGCTCACACTCTCTCTCTTCCCCTGTTCCTTTGAACGGCAACTGCAACACACGCACACCCGGCACATTATGCCCATCACTACAATCACCACAACCACCACAATCGGCACAATCGCCCCGCACACCATCACCTCCCATCCACCGCAAGCTAAGATCCCTGCCAAACTCCTCCCCAGACCCCACTCCGTCCGCGCTTTCAAAACCCCTGCCATCAATTCTGCCTCTGGAATCCAGCACCAACTCGCCCGTGGCATCAGGAGGAGGACTGGGAACACTGGCAGCACTAGCAGCAGCCCCATCAGCACTTACGTCAGAACCCCTCCCGTACCCCCCTGCACCACTCACCCCGCAGAGCCCCTCTGACCCCACCCGCCCATGCCCATGCCCTGTATGGTACCACACATTGCAAGCCGCCGCCGCTGCTGCCACCACCACCTGCGCTGCTGCCGCTCCTGAGTCCACCCATGCACTATCCGCCCCACTCAAGCCTGGGAAAACGCCCCGATCCATGCCCCCTACCCCCAAGCTGCTGGCCCCACTCGCTCGTTCCTCCTTCTCCCACCCGTCCACCCTGCCTGCCCCTACCAGCTCCTCTCCAGGCGCAGAAGCCCTTGCAGCAAGGCAGTGGGTGTAGTCCCCCACGCTGCTGGCCCTGTGGTGCGCGCCTAGGGAGGGCCGCTGCGAGCCCCCCAGCTCTATCTTGCGCCACCTGCTGCGCTGCCTGCGATGGCCTGCTGCCGCTGGCGTCTGCTGCTGCTGCTGCTGTGGCTGCTGCTGCTGGTGCTGGTGCTGCTGTTGCTGTTGGGGTTGGTGCTGTAGGGGTTGTTGCTTGTGTTGCTGCTGCTGGGTGTGGGGTGGCAGTGCCAACGGCAGAGAAGGCGTGGCAGCAGTGGGAGGGGTGTTGGGTGCAGAGGGAGACCCATGCACCGAGGCACGGGCACAAGAGTAGGCGAGTGGATGGGTGGGTGGCAGGGCGTGCGAGGGAGGTGGGGCAGGAGCGGGAGGAGGAGAGGAGCGGAATTGCGGGCTGGTGTAATAACTGCCTCGCAGGTCCCCCATGCTTCCACAGCGGGCCACGGAGCAGGCTTGAGATGCCTTCTCACTCGCACTCGCACTCACACTCTCATTCACACTCTCACTCCCTTTCTCACTCACCGTGTCACTGGAATTCACACTCCCTTCCATACATGCAACTGTACCTGCTGCAGCTGGGGAACCACTCGTGTGTGGCTCGTGCCAGTCTTCCATTGATACTCCAGGACTGCTCTTACTGGCAGCAGCAGGATCAGCCGAAGCAGCAGCTGGAGCAGTGGCAGCAGGAGCAGCAGCGGCAGCAGCAGCAGCGACAGCAGCAGCAGCTCCAGAGGGACTAAGCGACCCCAGGGCGCGCAAGGGGAAGCTACGCAGATGGTGCATCGCTGCTCCTATCCCGCCACCCAAGCTGCCACCACTGCTGCGGCGCTTGCTAGGAGAGAGCGAGGAGCGAGGGGAGAGTGAGGTGTGAGGGGAGAGCGAGGAGCGAGGAGAGAGCGAGGAGTGATGGGAGAGGCAGGAACGAGGGGAGGAGGTGGTAGTGGTAGTGGTAGTGGTAGTGGTAATGGCAGCATCCGCAGGGGAGAAGTAAGTGTGGCTGGTGGCGGTGCTGCCAGGACCTGGCGTCCTGCTGTCATCCCACACACTGCTGCTGCTGCTACTGCCGCCACCACCGCCGCTGCTGCTGCTATGGTTTCTGGAGCTTCGTGGTTGAGGAGTGAGCAGGGGAGGGATGATGCCTCTAGGGGCAGGGAGGCGCCGATGGGAGAGCGGTGCTCGCACAGACGTGGGAGAGGTACTGGGTGATTGCCTGGCGGGATGAGAACCAGATGCAGGACTCGTGTGCTCCCCATCCTGCTTCTCTCTTTCTCCTCCTCCCGCCCCCTCTCCTCCTGCCTTCGCTCCTGCACCAGAAGACGAATCGTTTCTTTCAGCACCAGCAGACTTTTCAGCAGCAGCTCCCCCCCTCCGGGGCCAGAGCATGCGGGCGCGGGGTGAGCGGGAGGAGGACGAGGCAGGAGGGGAGGCGGTAGGCACGCGTGCTCCAGCCGTTGAGGGAATGGCAGAGCCCATAGAGCCGCCTCTGGGAAAGAGAGCAGCAGCGCGGACAGAGGAGGAAGAGCGGGCGGATGGGGCGAAAAGCGCTTTGGGGGCAGAGGGCAGGCGCAGGGGGCGCAGCTGGTGGGGGACGGGAGGGGGAGAGGAGGAGGAGAGAGTGGGGGAGGAGAGGAGGGTGGGGGAGGAGGAGAGGGTTGGCGAGGAGGAGAGGGTGGGGGAGGAGGAAAGAGTGGGAGAGGGGATGTTGGGGGAGGAGGGGCGGGAGTTGGTGGCACTGGCTGTGGAGCGGTACAGGCGGCGCAGGAAGAGGTTGCTGCTGCTGTCACTGCTCCGTCGCACATGCATCATGACACGCTGCTGCTGCTGCTGCTGCGGCGGCTTTTGTAGTTGCTGCTGCCGGTGCTGTTGGTGGTGTGTCTGAATGAAGCCCCCCATGCTGCTCACATTGCTAGTGCTGCTGCTGCGGCTGTTGCTCGTGCTGCTGTTACCACCAATGCTAGCGCTGCTACTGAGGCTGCTCGTGATGCGAACACTGCTGCCAATACCACCACCACCGCTGCTGCCGCTGCTGCTGCTGCAGGTGGCACTGCTGTGGCTGTATTGGCGGGCATGCAAGGATGGGCCAGCCACTCCCCCTCCACACATACCTACCCCAGATGCTTCACGTGCGGCAGCTGCTGCCACTGTTGCAGAAGCTGCAGCACAAGTGCCATAAGTACCTGCTGCTGCTGCTGCTGCTGCTGCTGCTGCTGAGTTGACTGCAGGAGAGTAGCTTCCAGGTGAAACGATTACTGCTGCTCTGATACCATTGAGGGGAGCTGCAGCAGGCGAGAGACAGACGCCGGTAGCAGCACGACCAGCAGAGCCGCCCAGCACAACAACGGACCCACCAGATGAGGCAAACACAGCAGCGCCAGTAGCACCAGCCGCACCAGCTGCACCAGCCGCACTGCCAGCACCAGCAGCAGCAGCCAGAGCAGAGGAGCCTAGTCTTGTGGGGGACTGGCTAGGCTCTTGACAAAGCTGTTCCTGTTCCTGCTGTAGCTCACTGGCACCCTTCCCTGCCCCTGCCCTTGCCCCTGTCCCTGTCTCCATCCCGTGCCCACATGTCTCCTCCTGCAGCAGCATCTCTCTCATTTGTTGCTCCATCCTCACTCTCCTCGCCTCATCCAACTCCCCCTCCTCTTCCTCCTCCCCGTCGCTCCCCACACTTCCAATCCCTAAGTCCTCCTTCCTCTTCTCACCACACACCCCCTCCCTTTCCTCCATATCCTCCTCTCCTTCCCCTCTCACATCCCTCTGCTCTTGCCTTCCGACTATCCGACTCAGCCCACCAGCCTCTCCCCCCCAGTCCGGCCTTCTAATCTCTTGACTCCTCAGCCGCAGGAGCGAGCCTTGCACCTCACTGCACTCCACCGCACTGAAATCCACCACACTCCCCTCCCTCACACTGCTCAAGTCATCCGACCCCGCTCGCTTCTTCCCACACCGCCCACTCCTCACCCTCTCCCGTTCCTCCACGCCCCCCCTCCCCCCTCCGAACCCCTCCTTCCAGCTGTGCGCAGTGCGCTTCAGCCTCCCCATGATCGTCCGCCGCAGGTTTCGCCGCCCCTCCGCCTCAACCGACGCCCCGCCTCCTCCTCCTCCCCCCCCAGCACCACTGTCAGCAGCACCACCACCACTCGAGCCACTCGTGCTACCCGTACCCTCCGTGCCATTAGTGGCGTTCCTTAGCGCGGCGGACACAGGCACGGCCCCCAGTGAGCGTCGCCGGCCCAGCCTCTGCACAGCGCCCCCCTCGCTCACCCCAGCAACAGCAGCACATTCAGCCTCGCCTATCGCACAAGGGATAGAAGACCCATTCTGAGCAGAATAATTACCACCATAGCCATAGTCATAGTCATAGTCATCATCGTCATCCGCATCGTCCACGGGTGTAGCAGCAAACACCTCCACTCCATACATTTCCTGCTCCCATCCCCTTTCTCTTCCTCTTTCTCCTCCTCCTCCTCCTCCTGCTGTCACTCCCCCTCCTCCGCCTCCCCACGCCCACCCGCCTTTGTTCCCACCACCGCCAATCCTCCCCCTGCTCTTGCCGCGAACACCCCCCCTCTCCTCCTCCTCCTCATCGCTATCCCAAGCGGCCAGCAGCGTGCTTCCAAACACAGGCTTCTTGTTATTGGAGGACGCTCCTGGGAGGGAGGAGGAAGGGGGGAACGAGGGGGGGTTGGGGAAGTGGCACGAGTGGGGGACCGGGGATTTAAAAAGGGGGGCGGAGTAAGGGATGGGAGAGTAGCGAGTGGAGGAGTCAGCCGAGTATGGTTGCATAGCTATGCCAGCGCCAGCACTAACGCCACTGCCACTGCCCATGCCGCTTTCCCGTGTGTCGCTGTTTTGCTCGCTGTCTTCCTGCTGAATTCTGCTGCTCCCCGTGCTGCTGCTGCTACTGCTGCTCGTGACGAGCGGCTCGTGCTGCCCTCGCCCTCGCCCTCGCGAGGACTCCTCCCCATGCGCTTCCTCCGACAACGCGTGCCAACTGTTCTTCCTGCCCAGCGGAAGTTTTCTTTCCTGCTCGTGCTCCCGCACCCTGCTGCTCAAGGGGCCTGACCGCCCCCTCAACGCTGCGCGCCCCATTGCCGCCTGCGCGCCCCTCTCTTTCCGCGCGCCTCCCCATCCCCCCGCGTCCGCGTCTCCGGAGGCACTCCGCACTCTCCCCCCGCGCGGTTCCCCCCAGAGGCTCCGCCACTCGGCGTGCGCGTCCAGCAGCACGGCGGACACGCGGAGGGGGTCGGTTTCGCAGAACACCTCGCGCGGAGACAGGTGCTGCGCGAATAGCGGTTCTGGCGGAAGGGAGAGCGGGAAGGGAGAGAGAGCGGAGAGGCGGGAAAGGGGGCGGAAAAGGGGAGGGGCGGAGAAGAGCGGAAGCAGGGATGGGAGAAGTGGAGTGGCGGAAGAAAGGTGGGAGGAAAGAGGGATATTACACGGCACGAACACGCAGACAGGCAGTCGGAGAGCCACAGACAGAACAGACGAGTGCAGTGCGGTGCGCAGCACAAGCCGCCAAGTGCGGTGCTATGCGGCGGAGCATACCTTGATCGCTCTGTTGGGACTTCAACCACTCCTTAATCTGACCCAGCACCACGCGCAGATGCGCGGACCTCCTCCCCCACCTCTCCCCTCTGCCCTCCCCCTCCTCCCCCCACTTCCCCTCTCCCCAGTCGCCTCCCATCCCCCCCTCCTCCCCCTTCCCCCTCCCCTCATCCTCCGCGTCTACTATCTCTCCCCCCCCCGCTCATCCCCCCGCGCCTCGTCCTGCGCCACGGCCACCACGGTCCACACCAGGCGCCCGCTCTGCCTGTCCTGCACGCCCATCGCAGCTACCACCTCCACCGGGTACACCTCTCCGATAGCGCGCGCGCGCCGCCCTACCTCCACCACTTCCACCGGGCCGCAGGCAGCGGCGGATGGCGCGGGAGTTGCGGGGAGCGAAGCACGGCCTGTGATTGGCCCGCTGCTGCACGCGCTACTACTTCTAACACCTCGGCTTCCCCCTAAAGTCTCCGCTTCCGCCGCCCAGGGGAAGTGGTTCTGAGGCGGAGAAGAGGGCAGCTCCGCTTTCGCCGCGGACGCGCGCCGCGCCGCGGATGTTTGCGGAACGATTCCGCAGTTCCAGGGGGAAGGGCGCGGGAGCTCAACAACCTGCCTCGTGTCGGCGTTACCAGACGGCGCTCCTTTAACTTTCAGGCGATGGCGGAGAGGCTCTAGCCTGTCTTGCGTTGCCACGTGGCAATCAGCCCAGGCGCCCCTAGGCGTTGCGCAGACGACGTGGAAAGCGCCAGAGGCGGTCCGGAGAGGCACGCCGTGCCACGGAGAGAGTTCCCGACCCGCGTTGCTCGTAATAGTCACGCCGAATGTGGTCGTACCGGGGGAGCCGTGATACAGAGGAGAGAAGTCAGCCATGACTGTTAAACCGTTTTAGGTGTGCAACCTTGCTACTAAAACCGTAGAAGTGTGACAAGCGCTGTGAAAGCCACTTTTAAATTCGTGCTGAACAGTATTCTGTTACTGGCCACGCAATTCTTGTCTAGATGCCGCACAGGCACGTGGCTAACTACTTACTACGAGACGAGGAAACTGTAAGAAGGAAACGTGAACATTACCGGGAGATGCGGCGGTGCGCGGAAAGCGGCCGCTTGGCGGGAGCCTCCAGCAAGTCTCAGCTCTCGATATGTGGCCGGTCCCACAAGCTACGAGAGGATGAATGGAATGGAGCGTGGGGGGGGAGGCGGTTCTGAGCACGCGTAGGTGGGTGGGCTCGTCACAGGAAGGTTTTCCTGTTTTGCTGTTTTCCTGTTTCCACGCTCGACCCACCACCCACACACGAAATAAGGGCGTGTAACCTACGGTTCCGGAACTGACTTCCGTCCGAGTTTCGGTGTGGTGACAAATTTCGCCACAACTCGCACGTAAGTTCGTTAAGCTTGTTGCGAAGGATTCTTCAGTTTCGAAACACGATGTTCATGCGACGTCCGGACGGCAGTTTCGAGCGGTCGTCCGGACGGTCGTTCGAGAATCTCCCTACAGTTCTGTGCGAAAAGAACATGCGAGGCCTTCGGCGGGAAATGACACCAGGTCTACGATCGAATTTGCTCGCGCGCCTGAACCGCCAATCGCGGAAGTGACAAAACAAAATGTGTGCTGCGAGATTCGTCATGCCTAGCGTGTGATTGGCTTACGAGGGGTTGGGGTTTCGTTTCTTCGCATATTACTTTCGCACGTCGTTCAAACGTTTGATTGATGGAACATCCAGTTTCGAAACTCGATGTTCCACTGACGGACAGCAATCATAGTTGAGTTTCGAAACTCGATGTTCAAGCGACGAACGGAACTCGCGTATATCGAGTTCGGAACTGAGTTCCCGATCTAGGCCGACGATACCGTAGGCTACACGCCCTAAATGAAACACTGGCCTGCCATGCACGCTTGCTGCAATGCTGTCCTGTCTTAGCTGCCACCTGCCCTCCTGCACGCATTTTCATTCCTCCCGTCCTGTCAGCGCATTTCCGTCCCCGCAAGGCTGTACACCACATCAAACCGCACTGCACCATTCCCTCAACCTAGCCCCACATTCATCCCTTCTGGGAAACCGGAAGCGCGCATGTAGGGATCAAACACATTCTCCAGCGCAGCGCGGTGTAGTGTGGTACAGTCTGGTGTGATCTGGAGAAAAAGACGGGGTATCTCTTTATATTGCTGGTTCTTCACGGGCAGAATGGAGGCAGCGCTAGTGGCAGCGCGGGCAGGACACGAAAGCTATCCAGCTGACGGTGGTGGATGATGAGGGGCGGAGTGGAAGGCGGCGAACTCAATGACTCTTCTACCATTGGCCGAAGCCCTCGCTCTCGTGACCTCATCGCGCACCCTTTCCCCCCTTAGAGAGTGGTACATGAGACGGTTTTCCAGGGTCACGCGGGTCGCGATTGCAGGGTCAAGAGCTCACGGGCTGCAAAGAGATTTAGTGGGGTGAAAAAAGTTTTCCAAAGGGTTTCAGTTCGGCGAAGCGTAATCATCCCGCATCATTACGCCGTGACCCTGCTGTGAGCCTGACCCTTGCTCTCATGTACCCCGCTCTTACAGTTGGCCTGCTGCCGAGCCCAGCTGGCGCCATTTCACGGCTGCTGGAAACGTAGACGTTACGTTTGATTGACGGTGCAGCCGTCAAGGGCTTACGGTTTGAGCTGCCCAAACAACTGGAACTGTCCTGCTGGCTGCTGGAAACGCTCTTCCGCTTCTTGCACACTGTTTTCCCTCGCGAATTTCGTGTGCGGTGTTTCAAGATGTGGTGGGCCAGTGGGAGATGGTTGGTGGTGGGTGGAAGGAGGAGGGGGCAGATCAACCGAACACATTATGCCAGATGCAAAATTATTTTTGGCTCACTCATGTTACATGTTTGATGCAAAAAAAGATAGCCCCAGGGGGAACCTAGTTGTCATTCGGGGGGCATCAACCCTAAAATCGTTTCGGGCAGCAGAGATAATGGATGTGACTGGTTGTCAGTAGAGTGAGCCAAAACGGCCTCTAGCATAATGCGAGTCCCCATGGTGATTCCTGGGGAGGAGGGATGGAGGAGGGACAGCCATTTTGGACAGTGTACTTCGTCAGGAAAGGCAGTCTGCCAAATTCCAGCCAGCGCACCTTGGCCGACGTTGGCTGGAGGCTCCAAGAAGCGTTTTTTAACGAATCTCGGAACTTCGCGCGGTAGGGGTACGTGAGGTGTCGGTTCGAACCGCCACTATATTGTACCAAGCATTATCTAGCCGCACCATACCCAAACGTTTTAAACGGCTCTAAAAGCTTGAACCTGGAGGCCTGTTCAAGGGTCCCCTCTTACACTAGCAGCTGTAAGGCGCAATCGTGACACAGAATTTGCCTTGGTTCGGGCATCAGAACAGGTGTATGCCTCTGAAACTAGGAGCCGATCAACTCAGGAGTCGGGAAAATCGCTGCGTTCTGCAGGCAATTTTGGAAGGTTCCAAGTCGCATACAGAAGGTTCCACAACAGCGTTTTTTTGGTCCGGAAACTGGGTCAGCCCGCAAAAACGTGTCAACCCAACCTCGAGTTGTCCGAGCCTATACGAGTAGCGTTGCCTGCACAACGCACCCACCTCAACGCATAGGTTCACAAAGGTCTGGGGGCAGATTCGGCCCCAGGCAACTCTGCACTCCGCCGCACCTCCAAGTGGACTCCGCCAAATCGCAGGGGGACGCGATGGAGTCGGGGTCCTAGGGTGAACCACAACCCCACCCCGCAAAATACCTACAGCTGGACAACACCTCCCACAAAACCAAGCTGCGCATGCCCAGAAAGAAAACAAACCTCTCAGCTCCTCAAAGCACCATGCACTCCTCTCACGACCTTCTACCCTTATTGTTTTTGAATGGCACGGGGCACTTGTTCATCCAGCGTTTTTGTTTGTGTGTTTGCCCTTGTCGAAATCACTTGCGCGCTTTCCCTAATTTGCCTGCGCAACTTCACGGTGTGGTTTGGGAAGGCCCAAAGTGGACTGGGTGGTTACCATTGTCAAATTTAACTTATGTAGTTACTGTAGACTATACTGGATTGTGCCTTAGAGGGTACAACCCCTAGTCTATATACCCCTGTATCCTTCTATTCTACTCAGCTACTACTAATTTTGATATGGTATCATAGTAGTAGGTTCGGCCCCCCACCTAGCCCGCCCACGCTTCCGCCCTAGGCCCTAGCCGCCGTCACGCCCGCCCCTAGCTGTCGCGCCCGTCCCTAGCTGCCGTCTAGCCCATTCCCAGCCGCCGTCGCGGCTGTTCCTAGACGCTGTCGCGACCGTTCCTAGCCGTCGCGGCTGTCCCTAGTCGTCTCGCGGCCGTCCCTAGCCGCCGCGGATGTTCCTAGCCGCTGTCGTGGTCGTTCCTAGCCGTCGCGACTGTTCCTAGCCGCCGTCGCGGTCGTTCCTAGCCGCCGTCGCGGTCGTTCCTAGCCGCCGTCGCGGTCTTTCCTAGCCGTCGCGACCGTTCCTAGCCGCCGTCGCGGCCGTTCCTAGCCGTCGCGAACGCTCCTAGCCGCCGTCGCGGTCGTTCCTAGCCGTTCTCGCGGCCGTTCCTAGCCGTCGCGGCCGTCCTTAGCCGACGTCGCGGCCGTTCCTAGTCGTCGCGGCCGTTCCTAGCAGCCATCGCGATCGTCCTCCCCGGCCCCCTGCGCCGTTGAGTATGTCCCTAGCCGGCCTCGTGTGCCGTCGCGCCCGTCCTAGCCGGCCCTGCTCGCCGTCGCGCCTGCCCCTAGCCGGCCCCTTCTCGCCGCCGCGCCCGTCCTGGCCGTTCCTCCCCTGAGCCGTCGCGCCCTCTCCTAGCCGGCTCCTCGTGCCGCCATGCCCGCTCCTAGCCGGCCCCCTTCATGCCCGCTCCTTACCGGCCCCTCGTGCCCGCCCCTCGTTGGCCCCGTGCCCGCCCCTTGCCGGTCCCTCGCGTCCGCCGTTCGCCGGCCGGCCGGCCCCTAGCGTCCGCCGTCGTCGCCGGCCCCTCGCATCCGCCATCCGCCGGCCGGCCCCTAGCGTCTGCCGTCGTCGCCGGCCCCTCGCGTCCGCCGTCCGCCGGCCGGCCCCTAGCGTCCGCCGTCGTCGCCGGCCCCGCATTCGCTTCGCCGCCGGCCCGCCGTCGACTCGTGCCCAGCCCGTTCTTCCCGGCCAGCACTGCCCTACAACCCCCCTGGTACCGCACTGCACCGCTTTGCACCGCACTGTACTGCTCTGCACCACTTTGCACCGATTTGCACCACACTGCACCGCGCTACACTGTACTGCACCGTGCTGTACCGCACTACACCGCACTACATCGCACTGCACCGCACGGCGCCGCACTGCACCGCTCTACACCGCCCTGTATCGTTCCTGATGGCGGAGGTGCTTCGCTTTGATGTTGAGGGCCAGCCGATTGAGTTTGAGGTGTGGCTGGCCAACCTCCGCCGCCACCTCACTGGTCAGCGGCAGGATGGCCACTCGCTATCTGTCCATCTTGACGGTACACTCCCCTGCCCTGACCCCCCTGCTGCGCTGCCCGCTAACCCCTCGTCTGCTGAGCGTGAGTCCGCTGCGGCCGCTGCCCTTGCTAGCTCCGTCTGGCTGTCGCGTGATGCTGTTGTACAGCTTGCTATCAGCCATGCTGTGAGAGTACGACCCCGTTACACCACTTGGCCTATTCTTATTTCCTTCCCTTTTCATTTCTCGTTTTACCGCATCTCATTTGGTTTCCTATTTTCCATTTTCCATTATCCTTTGGTCTCTTCCTTTATTATAATTATATCACCGACCAGGCATGGAATGTACTAGAGACGTTATCCAGCGTAATCCTGCCGTAATCCCTTAAAGCCAATAGCCTCACGTGGCTATACGCAGGGTGATTCTATCTTCTAGAAGGGTCTATTCCCTTAGGATAAGATAAACCTGGTTACCTGATGTACTCTGGAAGTATAAAAGCGCCTTGTACCGATCGATAGTGCAACCTTTCCTCGACACATTCGATCCTGTGACACATGCCCTCCCCCTGTCAGAGCGCCCTCGCTTTGCACCGCTCTACACCGCCCTGCATCGTTCCTGATGGCGGAGGTGCTTCGCTTTGATGTTGAGGGCCAGCCGATTGAGTTTGAGGCGTGGCTGGCCGACCTCCGCCGCCACCTCACTGGTCAGTGGCAAGATGGCCACTCGCTATCTGTCCATCTTGA